TTGGGTTTAATTTAAATGAAAAATGTGTGAAACTTGATGAACCGGGCCGCGGAGGAGATCCCGTATGAGTCGGGTTCATAACACGTGTCGAGGAGAGAGTGGTTTCGTCGACGCGCTTTGTCGAGGCAGAAAGAAGGCATCTCTCGTGAATCCCTTCATTTCCTCTTCCTTTCAAAAAAGCTAGGGTTTCGTCTCGAGAGGCGATTTTGAGTGCGACGACTATCCACTCCAAAATTCTCGATCAAATTGACGACGGAGTACCTCCTCATCGATCTCAGGTTCGTTCTCGACTAGATTCACGGATCAATTGACAAGTTCATGTTGATTTAGGGTTTTGAGTCTCGGATTTAAAATCGTTTTGGGGTTTTTTTTTATAGGGGTCTTAATCGATTAGGGGTTTCGATTTGGCGTTGTTTCTCGTCATGGTTGTTTGATTTAGGGTTTGTATATATGTGTTTTTCTCGATTTGGGGTTTTTCGAAATAGGGTTCCAAATCGTAAATCGAGTTTGATTTAGGGTTCTTTTGTATGAAAATTGAAACATTACACCGAAATCCTAAAACTTGAAACCTAATTCTTTTTAAAGAGTGATTGCATGTTAACAATTGTCTCTCTTATTTTCTGGTGCAGATGGATCCTTCGGATGAGAGAAGAAATGCAAAGAAACAAAAGGAGCACTACGAGATGTTAGGGTACGTTGCCGATTCACTTTACGGTATTCCAAAGAAGTGTGCTTGCAGTGGTAAAATCATTCAAGAGATTCGGGGGAAGGACGTGTATGACACACTGCCCGGAAAGAGGTTCTTCACTTGCGTGAACTATGAGGTAAATGGTTCTTGAACTCTCTTTTATAAATTTAGTTGTTAATAAAAATTGCTTCTCTAACTTTCTGTTTTATGTTTTCATGTTCTAATCAAGGATGATGGGTTGCATTACCGTCATCCTTGGTTGGTTGCTGTCCAGGATGAGCTCGAAAGACTGAGTAAACGTGTGGAGGAGGCTGAGCAGGTGCTCGATGGGGTGATGAGTATCAATAAACGGATAGAGATACTGGAGGTAACTGTTTTTTTACTTGCTCTGTCATTATATTTATGTACACATACAAATCTAACACTTTTATTTTGTTGTTTCATGGCCAGGAACAGGTTAGAAGCCTCAGTGTCGATGTCGGTAACCTGGAGAAGATATGCTACGAGTGACAAAAGAAGGTAATTTCTTATTTAAAGTAACTAGTTTGATTTTGCCAAAAAACTATTTCGTGTTTTCTGAAAAAAAACTACTTTCCGTTTGCTAAAAAGTTAAAGTGTTGGTTGGTTGCTTTGCTAGTATTAAGTACTAGAATTGATTTAGTAGTTGGTAATATTAAGTATTTGATTTGATGTCTAATGACTGTTGTTTGTTCAGTAGTTGTTGTGTAATAAGTTCGGTAATGAATGTTTGGTAGGTAGAGTTCAATTGTTCTCTCCTACCAAATCTAAAACTAGTTTAAAACACACACAAATCATCTTCAACTTCTGAAAACAAATTAACCTAAAACAACAACCTTGAAAACAAATTAACCTTAACCAAAACGTAAATGGATCCTTTTCCCCAATCCGGGTTTATTGACCTACTTGCTTCGCAAAGCAGTCCAGTAATAGACCTGGACTATGCTGAGGGGTGGTCACTCTCCCGGGTTAGCTAAACCCTCCACCAAGAGAAAATGGTTAGTACAGGAAGACCTTGTGCTCATAAGTGGGTGGTTGAACACAAGCAAGGATCCTATCATTAGTAACGAGCAGAAGGGGGGTTGCTTTTGGAAGAGAATCGAGGAGTACTTCAACTCGAGCCCTCAGCTCGCGGGCTCTCTTCCTAGAGAGTTGAGTCAGTGCAAGCAGAGGTGGGGGAGAATTAATGCCGAGGTGTGCAAGTTTGTGGGGTGTTATGAGGCGGCTGAGAAGGATAATGGAAGTGGTCACAGCGAGAATGATGTCTTGAATGCTGCTCATACCATGTTCTTCAATGATTACAAAGTCAAGTTCGCCATGGAGCACTGCTGGAGGGAGCTGCGATATGATCAGAAATGGAAGTCATTGTCAAAGTCCAGAGATACTTCGAAGGAGAGAAGGAAGGAAACAGAGGAGGTGATGCCTGAAGAGGAGGCCAGGCCGCCTGGTGTTAAGGCGGCCAAGGCAGCCAAACGCAAGAATCCTACATACCCACCCGAGATGTTTAGGAGGCGTTTTCGAATGAACAAGCCTTTGTTTCTTCGCATTGTCGACCGCCTAAGTAATGAAGTTCCTTACTTTCAGCAACGAAGAAATGGCCACGGACGATTCGGGCTATCTCCACTACAAAAATGTACTTCCGCTATCCGGATGCTCGCATATGGTCAAGCGGCAGATTCGTATGACGAATATCTCCGACTTGCTGCAAGTACTGCACTATTGTGTTTGGATCATTTCACGGAAGGAATAATAGACTTGTTTGGAGATGAGTATTTACGAAGACCTACACCGGAAGATCTTCAAAAATTACTCGATGTTGGAGAAGCACGCGGGTTTCCAGGCATGATAGGCAGCATCGACTGTATGCATTGGGAGTGGAAAAACTGTCCAACGGCTTGGAGAGGACAGTACACACGTGGTTCCGCAAAGCCGACAATTGTCTTAGAGGTTGTGGCATCACATGATCTTTGGATTTGGCACGCATTTTTTGGATTGCCAGGTACCCTCAACGATAATAATGTTCTCGATAGGTCTCCAGTATTTGATGACATTTTACAAGGTCGAGCTCCTAAAGTTAAATTCAAGGTCAACAACCACAATTATCGTATGGCGTACTACCTTACCGACGGTATTTATCCGAAATGGTCTACATTCATCCAATCCATCCCATTTCCTCAGAGTCCTAAAGCGGCGCTATTTGCTGAACGTCAAGAATCCACTAGAAAAGATGTCGAACGCGCATTTGGAGTATTGCAAGCACGCTTTGCAGTTGTTAAGAACCCATCTCGTCAATGGGAGAAAGAAAAAATAGGAAGGGTTATGAGAGCTTGTGTCATATTGCACAATATGATAGTAGAGGACGAACGAGACGGATACACTCAGTATGATACAAGTGAGTTTGAATCAGGAGACTCAAGCAGAAGCTCTGAAGTTCAACCGGCAACATCTGTGAATTTCGGGAATACGCTTGGCATTCGCAATGACATTCGGGATTCACAAACACATGCACGTTTAAAAGCTGATTTAGTTGAAAATATATGGAAAAAATATGGTAATCAAGATGAATAATCTTTGTATGTTTATGGATTCTCAATGTTGAAAATTAATAAATAATTTCTTGCCTCATTATATTGAAAATTAACTTCAAAAAAAAAAAATTTACCTTTTAAAAAAAAAAATTATTATTTTATTGTAGTGAACCCGGGATGAGGTTCATTGATAGAGACACATAATTGACCCGGGTTCAACACTATTTAAGGTCCCACCAAATATTAATAAAAAAAATCAATGAACCCCAAGAGGGGGTTCATTGATGTACATACTCTTATTCACATAATCAAAATGCCTTTTTGTAGACCTATAAATAGATTGCTTCTTAATTAAACCAAACAACCTAGAAACAAAATCTGACCAATCTAAAATTATATACCCTATTTAATACGGATGTCTAATCCATTTTAATCAATCAGAATTAAATTAACCTACACCTAAATTAAAATCCGAAAACCTTTAACCAGCTTTTTGAAATATGACCAAGACACCGAACCTGAAAACTTCTCGGATCACATGGTCATTAGGATGACTGCGGGTGAACCACGGTTAATAAATTAATTTTCTTGTATAATAATATATTAGCTATGAAAATAAAAGTATTAAAAATCAAGTTAAGTATTTCCTTAATATTTTTTAAAACATAGAATATAGTTTGGATATGTATACATTTTATATTTTAAGAAATATTAAATAATTAAGTTTGGTTTCTATATTTTTTAGACTATTTAAAATTTAGTTTAACATGTTAAGAACTGAAGAGTTATGATATCTAACAAAAACTATCACGACTTGAAATTCATAAATATTCAATGTCTTATGTGAATAATAAAATTAAACTTCAAATTTAAAATAAACCAAAATTAAACATTTTTGTAATAAATTTCCGATAACAAAATAAACTAACACCAAATCAAATCAAATCAACTAACTTTGGTTTTCTCTACTATCGTTTACCTCATTTCCTTCAGGTGGCATATTTAAAATTTTCATCAAAATCTAAAAACCACAAATAAATAATGCAATTGTGGTAATATATATGATATAAAAATAAGAAAGTTTAATCAAACATAATTAAACTAAAAAATAAGTAAAAATTATATATTGGTTCAACCGGTAATCGGATTCCGGGTTTTAGTATTTTTGCATATTTTATTGAGTTTTTAAATATTGATTTTTTCACAAAATCCAAACAAGATTTATTTTGGAACACTAGATTTATCGGTTCAACCGTGGATCTAGATCGGGTTTCAAAATATTGGATTCGCTAGAAGACAATACCAAGATGTTTTCAATTTCATCAAAACCTAACTTTGGTGGGCTTTGTTAGCCAAGCCTAGACATCTATGTGGTTTTACTATAATGCATGCAATTATTGTGTTGGTTTAGAAAACGAAGTGAAGAATCTTAAAGTCGCTCACGAAGATTGGACGCAATGCTTGTTGGTGAATACGACAGTGCCAACAATAAATGGAATATTCCACCAAGGTGTTATTAGAGGTTGTGAATCAATGAGGTCACAGTTTAACAACACTTTATATAAATTATTAGTCTGTTCTGTCTGTGTTCAAAAAAAAAGTCTGTTCTGTCCTAGTAATGTCATGTTTTCCTATAAAAATATTAAACATGGGAAACAAGGTTGTTGACAATGATAGAATAAACTAATGTTCCAAAATTGGTTAGCGTTGAAGAGGGGAAATAAAAAGGTCGTGTGGTTGCGTTACAAAAACCAATCAATCAAAATATGAAGAGCATAAGCACCGACTCTTCTTCTTCTTTTGCTAGCTACGCTCTGGCTGGCCACAGCGGCAAAGCCAAGCCACGGTCAATTGGCTCGGACGGTTCAACGAGACAGAGAGATGTGACGAGAGCCGTTCTGTTGTTGCTCACAACCGTGGCATTTTCTTGTCTTTTGGTCTATAAATCAAAGGTTACGCCTTTGCAAGTGATGCTGCCTCAATGGACAACAGATTTGTACTCACAAAACAAAACTTCTTTAACGTCGGTAAGTTTTTATACACACATATGTACATTTGTTGATTCTAAGTACATTGATTTTGTGTTATGTATAGATACAACACACAAAACTATCGAAATCAGAGTTAGAGAGAGTACTCCTGAACGCGGCTATGGAGGACAAGACAGTGATTATAACGGCGTTAAACCATGCATGGGCGGCTCCAAACTCCACGTTTGATTTGTTTCTAGAGAGTTTTCGGACCGGACTAGGGACCGAAAAGTTATTGAAACATCTGATTGCTGTTTGCTTGGATATCAAGGCATATAACCGTTGTTTACAGGTTCATGCTAATTGTTATTTCATCAATTCCACTGACTCTGATGAGCTCTCGGGAAGAAACAATTTCATGTCTCCCGGTTACTTGAAACTCATTTGGCGGCGAATGGATCTGCTAAAAGATGTTCTTGGTTTTGGCTATAACTTTCTATTCACGGTACGTAATATGTTAACTGTCTCGTCTAAGTAAATACGTCGTATGATCAATAAAATGGTGCATATCAAAGAGTTCTATGGCCTTCATGAACTGAGCATGTTTATTAGAGTTCTCTTAGACTGGGTTTCTTAACGTAATATAAGATACAGTCTCTTAATTTTTAACTGAAAAAAATTAAGAGATGTCTCTTATATTTGTTATTTAAGAAACATCTCTTAGCTTTTTCAGTTAAAGCTAAGAGACCGTATCTTATATTAATCTAAGAGACTGACCTAAATGATCTGCAATAAACATGTTCTTAAACTATGCATTTATTAATTTTTTTTTTTTAAAAAATTTTTTGTCTGTCAGTAAGCTTAGAAATTATCTTTGCTTTATCTTCTATTATAGATATTTTTTAAACCTATGGTTCTATTATTGATACATTTAATTAATCATGTTAGCTGGTGAACAAACTGCTAGCCCAACAACCTAACTATATTCCGTATAATTAATCAAAATTAGATATCACATTATTTCGTTTATATATAGGCGTCATGCCTCAAACCAAATCATGAGAACGTCTCTATTATTACTGCTATTTTCTAATTTGCAAGTCTTTGTTCTTTAAATATTTCTGGAATCTATTTTTTAATTAGTAACTTACTATGCTAATAGGTTCGGTTTCAGTTCTATCTTTTCAAATTATACATTTCCATATTTAATTATAAAAATAAGTGTTTTCCTGCACCATGTGTAGCAATAAAAATTTGAAATTTAAATTATATTTAGTTAAACATAAAGTTAAGTTAAAACAAAAATTTTGATTTATTTAAAATTATATTTAAGACAAAATATATATATATATATTTAAAATTATAATATTAGATAGATTTTTAATTATTTTTTTGGTTAAGATATAGTAAATTAATTTATTTAATATTTCTACTAATAGGAAAATAAACTAAACATAAATTTTTAAATTTGTAGATATCAAAAGGAAACAAATGATGATATGTTTAAAATTTATAATTTTTTAACAAGTATAAAATTTTAAAAATCTTATTTAGTAATAAAACAGTATGATTATAAAAATAGATTTTGAAATTTATAAAATATTTTAAATTTTTATTATTATATGATTTAATGTTATATTTAAATAGATTTATTTTAGTAATGATATAGTAGCTATTTCATATTCTAAAATTTTACCAAAAAACAAAATCTGATTAAATGTTATTGCCATGTCATATTTATATATACGCCATGTCATCGATTCTAGCATTTTATATCATTTTATAGTGAAAATGATTATAGAGATGATATATATCAAATCAGTTCTCAAATAATGTTTAGGGAATATAAATCATATGATATGGCTCGACTAAGGCCCAGTCATTCACGATTACAGAAAATATATCTTTATATAATAATGTAATAATATAATAATATTTTTTAAAGTATTTGTTTTATTTTTTTAGTTACGATCACCTAAAATTTGAATAACATAATTACCTTTGGATAGCAAAAATAAATAAATAAATGGTTTGCGGTCTCTTTGGCATCAAGTTTTCGATTTCAAAAAGAATAGAAAAAAAAAAGATTTCAGTAATTTAGATTTGACTAAAATAGATGGGACAACGTTATTAAATATGGAAGATAATTTCAGTTTCGGTAGACTTTGGGTTTTTATAATAAGAATGCTAATGAAGAATTAGAAGGAGCCGATTTAAAATCTACAACATTTCGGTTTGATTATTTGGAATTGGGTTTTGGTTCCGATTGGTTTAGTTAGTTCACATGCCTAATTATATTATATTGTTTATTAAATATACAGGATGCAGATATCATATGGCTCCGGGATCCATTTCCCCGGTTCTTTCCCGACGTTGATTTCCAAATGTCTTGCGATATCTACAACGGAAAACCCTCTGACAAAAACAATTACGTGAACTCTGGATTCACATACGTCAAGGCCAACAACAGAACTTTAAAATTCTACGAGTATTGGTGTGACTCGAGCAAGAGATTCGCAAGAAAACATGACCAAGATGTTTTCAATTTCATTAAGAACGAACCATTCATAGTGGAACTTGGGATCACTATGAGGTTCTTGGACACGGTTTACTTTGGTGGGTTTTGTCAGCCGAGCACAGACATTAACGTCGTTAATACAATGCATTCAAATTGTTGTGTTGGTTTGGACAACAAAGTGAAGAATCTTAAAGCCGTTCTTGAGGACTGGAAGCAATATTTGTTGGTGAATACGACCGTTACCGACACTAAATGGAATATTCCACCAAGGTGTGGTTATTAGAGGTTGTGAATCTATGAGGTCACGATTCAGCAACATTTTATATAAATTAGTATGTTCCCCTTTCAAATAATGGTTATTCTCTTTTTAAAAATAATAAACATGTGAAATAAGGTTGTATGTTTTACTCAAGATGGAGCTTACCTGCAAGAACATCTTGCCTATACATAAAATGCAGAATCCTAGTAAACAATTGACCAAATTAAACTCGTCGGCGTTTTCCTGACATTATAGCTTCGTATTTCAGTTACTTTTGTATGTTCATCAATTGTTTATAGTTAGAACACAAAATCTTTACATAGTGGCATATGGTCATCCCCAGTCTCAATAGTGGCATATGTTGGAATTCAGACCATGTGACTTGCAAACGACATACACTGATCTGAAGTGGCAAACTCATGGTGACTATCATTGGCAGTTTGTATTCAGGGTTGATAGTTCCGTAAGATGACAGTTCCGAAGTTGGTTTGGTGTTCATAGCTGATTCATGTATCTCCTAATATCTTAGAATTAAGTGAGTAGACCAACAATTAGTGTAAAGGCTCCTCTCTCTCCTATATGCAGGATTTCTATTTATTATGTTGCTTTTACTAAAATATGGCTGTTGTCCTAATAGACGATTTCTCCATATATATATGGACTATATTATTAACCGAGAAGAGTGAGAAATTCTATCGGTTCAAAAGATTTAAAGAAAGTATTGAGGAGCAAATTGGTTCAACCATTAAGACCTTTCGCATTGATTGAGGGGGATAGTTTACCTCAGTGAGTTCAATCTATATTCTGAAGAAAACAGAGTTAATAATCACTCCACCATGTCTTATACACCTCAACAAAATGGTGCTATGGAAAAAAGAAATCAAACTTTAATCGGAACTAGATTTTGGACCCGTGCATTCGCAGGGGTGTAAATTCTAAATTATTATATGTTTAAAATTTATTTGCCAATTTCACAATTTTTGAATTTTAAAATTGATGTATTTTGTTCAGTTTTTAGTGTCCAATTATAAAGTATGTTGTTGTACCAATGGTTTAGTATTGTGGTAACACATTGTGTTTTATAGATTATAAAGTACGATATGTAGGGAACCAAGGATTAAGTGGTTTAATGTTGGTTTATTAATAAGAGAATAAGTGGTTTCTGATGATTTATTAATAAGAAAAGAATTGGTTTAGTGATGGTTTAATAATTAGAGAATAAAAAGATTTACTGATGGTTTAATAATTAAGAGAATCAATGGTTTGGAAATTTAAATCAAAATCGTGTGTTAGTTTATTAACTAAAAAAATTGATGGTACAAATTTAAATTAAAACTATGTTTAAAGGTAGTGACATAAGGATATAATTTTGTGGAAAAAATTCAGAGTTAAGTACTAAATGTATATTTTTATAATTTTTGGTAGTGTATATTTTTTATATTTATCAGTATTAAATATTAATGTAATATAACATTTATACTCAAAATTTGTTGTTGCTTAGATAGAGTAATTTTATGTATTGTATCAAATCGTCAATTGTATTCTAAGTCCATCCACATCAGCGCCACTTCATAAAATCCACATCACCTGATATGTCATTAAGTTGAATTTTGTGATCGCGACATGTGTCCCACTTATTCCAAAACGCAACACTTCATTTATTCTGATATCTCAATTATTTAGACTTTTTCGTTACACAGAAATCAGATGGTATACGAAACGATAACTCAATAAAGTGGACGCCAATCATGTTGATGCGTAGAAAAGAAACTCTAGAGTTTGATTCTCTTCTTCTGTACCTAGAGTTTTTTGAATAATAGTTATATATTTAAATATAATAATTAATTTAATGTATAATATTCAAAATATCTAAAATAATCAACAAATTTTGGAGCTGTCTAAAATAACTGAAAACATGTAAAATAGTCAAAAATCAATATTTGAAATAATAAAAAGACTCAAAACACTAAGATATTTAGTGGTTTCCACTCAAATACTCAAACTAACCAATTTTCATGTAATTTTATGTATTTAGTTATATATTAATATAACATACACATGTATAACTTTTATTTTTGGAATTTGAAGATCTTATAATATATATTGATTTCAATAAAATAAACATAATTTAAACGGGTAGACATAAACTGAAGGCGACGGATATATAATGTCCACCCATTCATTACATTAAATTAACATATATCATAACAATATTTCTAAATTCCTTAACTTCTCTTGAAAACAAATCAACAAACATTTTTATATTCCCGATCATTAATATATCTCTAACAAAATTATAATTATACAAAATAAATAAGAACTTGATTGTTAAAAATATGAAAAACAATTATTGACAGAATAATTATTTAAAGAATAAAAAAAATTATAAACAATTATAAAAATAATTTCAAAATATAAAATAATTTTAAAACACCTCTATCTTAATATATAATTTAGTAAACATAGAATACAAATGGATATACAAGACTTATTATAAACACTAAAAGCATTGATCATAATTATGTAAATGATTTGCTTTCAAAATATTTTAAATAAGATAAAGTTATACTTGAATTGTACATAAAATTTATTTCTAGAATTCAGAATATTTAATCTTGTAAGTTAAAGAATTAGAATATTATTTTCAAATCAAACTTTCAAAAAAACCGGCTAAATTTAATAAGATTATTAAAATCTTAAAAATAAACTAACATATATCTTTTACGCACAAACATTCTTAAAAATCTTAAATACTATAGCACATTTCTCTTGCAAAAGTTCATAGAACACAATAAAAAATAAAATACAATTTTATAGTTTGACATCATATATATAACTGATATTCCGCGCGTAGTGCGGACCAGTCCTAGTAATTATATAAAATATGCATGAAAAAACAAATGTAAACAGCCATTTTTGTTTAATATACTTTTCTAAATTTGACTATTTACATGGGATTGTAAAGTTTAAGTTATTATTAATAATAAAGAGGGGTAGACTATAATATCATAAAGACTATTTTGATGATCAATTAATTACCTACTATTAAGAGGGGTAAGACTTGTTATATAATATATGAATTTATATAATATCAAAAAAATAAAATGCCTCACGATTATATGTATTCAAAGTTATTTTCATTTGCTATTTTCAAAATATACAAAGTGTATGTATAAGGTTTAGAAGGTACATAATATACAAACTGTATGTATAAGATTTAGAACAGGTGTCCAAGTTATTTTCATTTCCTATTATCGATTCTATATTAATTAATGTATGTCATAGCGTGTTTTGTAAACCTATATATATATATTAGATTTTCTTGTTGTAAGTAAAAATTTACAATCTTTAGGTATAGTTATTTTTTTTAGGAATCTGATTGTCAATAAGTACACCACATAGAAATCAATCTTTATGTAGGTGAAAGTAGGAACCTCTGCTTGCGTAGGTTACACATCTGCAAATAGTTGAAATTGTGTATTAGAGAAAAAACAACATGATAAATTTTCTTATATGAAATCGATTCTACTGGCATTTCATTAAAAGTTTTTTGTGTTTAAAAGAAACTTAGTAAATTGTAAGATGATAGTTAAATTGACATACTTTTTCAATCTCTTCAAAATTGTTGAATCTTCTTTGAAATCATTATTCATGGTTTTCCTCTGGGGATTTCCATCTTTGCCAACAATCAGAATTATTCCGCGATAGTGTAAAGGTAACACATTTATATTTTAGTCTCAGTGGATTCTCTAACTGGTTTTCCATGGTTTTACTTCCTTCAAGAGTGGAACATTTTGTTGTGCAACTATTTTTATAGGTGATTTGTGAATGTGATTGTTCTCTAAGTTGATAGGAAGAGGTGTATTTATAATTTTATATGCAAGTAGATGACGCTTATTTAGAGAGTATATTTAATATCACAATTAATTTGGCTAAATTTATGGGAGATTATAGCGTATATATATTAGTATATTCCCTTTAAATATTTTTCTTTTAAAGTATGCGAATTTCGTATATAGCATTTAGATGAATATATATATATCTTGGAATGCAATCGCAAAGTGAATATGGTTATATACCATGTAGTGGATGTGTAGAAGGAAATAATGGTTTCCTAATTTATTTCTAAAAAAAAAATGGCTTTCTAAATTTTAGGAAGTTAAACTTAATTTGTTCATTTACGAAAATCGATGCTTAGATTTTCAACTGGTTGACTATGATCTCGCAATATATTGTTTACAATTGTGATTGAGTAAACTCATTTGTCACGCAAATATTATTTACATATTTGCAAAGATTTTCTGCTTCATAGTTAATATTTTTGTTTACAATCTGTTACTTTCCTTGTAGGTAATATATCTATGAATCTAAATACATAACCGGTTGTTTACTTAAACCGAATGCTTGAAATACATAATGCATAAACATGACCAGCTGACTATCCTCAAAGATTTTCAGAAATGCTTAAATTTATGAGAATTGAAATTTATATGTATATGTATATGTATATTGTTTATTGTTTATTTGGTTCAATTTGTAGAAGTTATATATGGAGATGTGTATATTTAATTCTAAGATATGATACTATACCAGTCCAAATAAATATTGTAGAGTGGGCTCGGTGATAGTTAGTGAAGGCCTGCCAAAATTAATGTTAGATTGTTAAAATAGAGTTGCATTAGATTGTAATTATTGTGGAAAACTTAGGGTTAATTTCAATTTGTATTTCAATTTTAATAGATTAGATGACAAGAAATATGCTTAAATCAGTGAAGTTGCCAAACTATTTATGGGGAGAAGTTGTATGGCATTCAACTTATCTCATCAATAGAGTTCCTACGAAGGTCATCGAAGATCAACACCCAAACGAATGTAACATCGAAAAAAACAAATATCGAACACTTGAGGATATTTTGTTGTGTAGCTAAGCTCATGCGAAAATCACTAGACCTTACTTTAAGAAGCTGGATAAGTGATCAAAGAGAATGATCAACTTTGGAACTGATCCGGG